TTTAAAAAGATTATTATTATTATAATAATAAGCTTTTTTAATTATATTTTTCAAATAATTCAATTCAAAACTATTTATTTCAAGCTGAAATAGTAATTATAATATTATTAATTAATACTATCTAAATATATATACTAATATTTTTTAATTATAAAGATTTATAATTTATTCAATATGCTAGAATTTTAATATTTTAAAATACTAATATTTTGCTAATATTTTACTAGTATTTTATAAATACTAATATTTTGTTAGTATTTTATAAATACTAATATTTTATAAATGATCAAAGAGATTTTTAATTATATTATTTTATTAAGTATTTTAAATTAAATATATGTGAAATGTAAATTAAAAATATAGATTTCAACTAAAGATAATAAAATATAATATTCAAGATAGAAATATAAAGATAAAGAATAAATATAATAAAAAAAATAAATATATAATTGAATAAAAATAAGAATAATTATATAATAAGTTATAAAATTATAAAAAAATAAAGTTTTGTATAATTAAAAAAAGATTATAGAATTAGAAAATTTTATATTATTATAATAATAATAATATTATATAATAATATCATATATTTTTATATATATTTAATATTAATTAATTATAATTTTATATATTATTATTTTTTTATAATTATATTTATTTTATTAATTGTTAAATTTTATATTAGATTTATATTATAATATTAATATATAAATTTATTAATTTTAAAGAAAGCTTTAAGTTTTTATAATGAATTAATAATTTTGGTGATTTTTAATTAGAAATTTAATATAATAGAGCATCTTATTAAAATTAACTTTTTATACTTAAATAATATTCAGAAAGATTATATCTTTATTAGAAGTTTATAAAGAGATATTTTAAAAATAATAATAAAAAAGAGAATTTAATATCATGAAAAAAACTCTAAATTTAATTATTATAATAATAAAATAAAGAATTTTTATGAAAATTATTTAAAATTAATCAAGAAATAAAAACTAAAATTATTTATCTATAATAATATTATATAGTTTACTTTTATTATTAGCAATTCTATTAGTATTAAGATAAAAGATTAGAAGTTCAAAGAATTTAATTATATAAAACTAATTTATAAGAATAAAAAAGAAAAATATTTGAATTTGAATTTGATTCAAGTGATTAAAAGAAGAATATTAATAATAAAAGTTATTATGCTAAAAGTTTTGAAAAATATTACAAAATATTAAGTTAAATAATTTTTATAAATCATAAAATAAACAAGAGTAAAAAGAGAATATGTGATATTTATAATAAAAAAGAATATAATATATAAATATATTCAGTAAAAAAGAAAAATACTAGTAATCAACTAAAAAGTAAGTGAAAAAATAATAAAAAAAAGCTAAATAAAATAAATTTAAAGAAAAGATAATAAGAAAAAATAAAAAAAAGATTAATTTAGAATATTTGAATTAAATACTTAATTAAATAAAAAATATTATATAATTAATAAAATTATATTCTTTATTTAAATTAGTCAATTATATATTTTTATATGATATGATATTAAATATTACTGATATAATTTATCAAATTTATTAAATTATTATAATTGATTTATATATTATTATAAAAATTTCTATTAAAATTATTGTCAATTAATATTTTAATTCTTATTAATCAAGAAAGATATTTATATTTATTTAAAAATTTTTAAATATCACTTATAATATAATAGAATAAAATTTTTATATTAAATAATATTGAATTATAAAGATAATTCTTGAAAGTAAGATAAATTTATTAATATTAATTTTTTATTATTATATTTTTTTACTATTATATTTTTAAATCTCAATACTTTGTAATAAATTATATAAATATATAATATAAAACAAAACTATAAATCAAATCTAAATAAAAATCAAATAAAACTTATAATATAACAGAAGGTCTTTAAATACAAGATTTTTATATTAAGTAATATTGAATTATAAAGATAATTCTTGAAAGTGAATAAGATTTAAGATAGATTTACTGACAATAATTCTTTTGTTCTTGCATTTGCATCAAATAAAAGAATCACTAAATTCATATAAATTGAAATTCTCATTTAAAAATATGTCCTTTAACAAAGAAAAAAAGAAGAGTTCAAAATATTGTTAGAAATGATAGAAATGATAACAATATGAACAAGTAAAAACAAAATTACATGTCCACTTTACAAGACTCATGAATCCTCTCACGTGGTGGAGTACACATCAAAAAGAATATCCAAATTTAGCAGCATTGGCTCAAAAATTTCCGGCACTTTAGAACATCCGAATGGTTATTTCCGACACAGGGCAACATTCTAACGAAAAAATGAAAATCGATTGGATCCAAACAATATTGTTTCTAAAAACTAATTCAGATCTATTCGATGTTTATCTGGACTAGAATAGTACATGTAGTTTTTTATAGAATTGTATCGATTAAATCAAAATACATGTGTTGAAATCAGCCCGATCTATTTGCCAAAGTTTGAATTGTGATAAAAACTTAATGTAGCCAGTTATGACAAGAGCAATGATATGATATTCTTGTGATTTTATTGGCTAAAAAATTATATATTGCGATTTTTATTGGCTGAAAATTTATATATTGCAGAAAAGGTCGGCCCAGTCGACTCTTAAATCATTTTGTTGTCAGACCGGCTCACAGGGTTTCGTATCTTTCACTATTAATTATTTTTTTTCCTAATTAATTGTCATATGGAACCTAAATTATAATTAATTGCGTTGGAAATCTGTTCTCGGAACACTTGAAAAACAATGTTTCCTGTTGAGAACACAAAATACATGTAATAAAACCAAAAAATTGCAATTTAATTTTAATGGTTTTTTGAAAAGTTCACTATATTAAAATCTAAACGAACTTGTGAGCAAGTAATATGTATTTAATGTTAAATCGATTTTTTACTCAACTATGCCTTTCGAATATCAAGCCTACGTCGTTGTTATTAAGCTTCACAATTTCTGGTGGTGAATTTATCGGAATAATTTTATATCGTATAAAAATTCCCATACGTGAAAAATTGCGTAGTGAGCCATGGATGAATAAACGACAAGAATGTAGGGTACGAGAAAACTTTGACAATATTTTTATTATTTCTTTATCATAGCATAATTCCTGTAACAATAAGACACGGTATTTTATTTTGACAGTGGACGAAAATATTGAAAAATTCTTGTATATACCCTCTCCATATAAAGGTTTGCGATGTTTCTCGCGATAATTTCTTTACATAAATCCAAAGGATTGCAAATAAATTTAGTTTCTAATATTAACATCAATAATAAAAGTTGTAATTAGAATTAAATAACGAGTCAGCAATCTTTTACCTTTACAATCACCAATTGGCTCATCAAGAGCAAGAAATTTCTGAATTTTATCACGATAAACTTCCATTCGTCCGATAATCCCTTGACGGAGGCAATGGTTGCGTAATCTTCACTATAAAGATTGAGAATGGCATTCTCTAATATCAACATCGAAATCAAAATAGTTAATTCATTATATTCAAAAAAGGGATTACGTTTACAATATTTACAGATTCAAGATACACAAAAAAATTCATCGATTTCGTGTTCAAAATTTCATAGCTCAATTTGTTGGTAACGAATGTGATAATTCTGCCAAACGTATATATCGAGAAAATATCTCCATGCTTGAAACGATTGAAAAAAATGGGTTTAATTAATTTCGGTATTTGAAGGAATGAATACTATAAATCGGGAAGGTTACTCGTTGATATGCTTTTCTGAGTAGTTCCTCACTATTATTCAAGAACTCAAGAGTGGCCAAGAATCGGTATATTATAGTGCACGAGCGGCGGTTCATTTTAAAAAAATTTCCTGAATTAAATCAGTTTATCATTTAATTACGTAGTCACAAGTGAAAGGTTTGCCTATGATAATTTTCTTTTGACGTCCAATCAAATAAACTGCAAAAACTAGCGATAAACCCAACAAACCAAATTGTAACATTATTTTATTATTGTTATCGATGTCAAGGAAGTTTTCCATATGCTGTATCTAACATTAATTTAGGAATATGTGTACTACATAACGTGACGATAACGATAAATATGTGTGATATTTATCACTCAACTTTTCAGATTTCCACCCCCTGAAGACATGATTTCTCCATTATTTCAGTACGATTAATATCCTCTTCATCCTTAAGCGTCAGAATAACAGTTTCTTCTACCTTATCGATTTTTAATGTCCACTCAAAGCCATGACACTCGCTCTTAAGGTACGCATAAATTTCGAATTCAAATGACTCGATAAATTTTGCAGCGATACTTCCAAATGGAAATACCAGATTTAAAATAGTTCGGACGAGATAAGAGTTTGGATGATCGCTCATGGTTAATGTACTTACCACTGGATTCATCTGTTGTAGAGAAAGAACATTGAAAATAACTTTTATGTTGAATAAGAAAAAAAAACTCTGAAATACCTTTCGTACGAAAAAAGTAATCTGAACTTGTTTTTCGAAATTGACCACCATTTTCGTAAATACTTCCTTCAAACAGCACATAAAGTCATCAAGTTTTGCAGCTATGACTTTTTCTATAGTATAAATATCCTTTTGGCGAGATGATGATAATGATGATGCATTGTTTGTAATGGCAGCGTTATCAACTGCCTCCGCCATATTAAAAGGAATCTCATAAAAATCGAATTCCTCTTTCAAAAGTTCACGAGTAGCAATTCTACCACAATTGACACACATTTTGTCAAGATCCTGGAAAACAATTGTTCCATTCCGATAGAATTCCAGGACATGCCAAAACAAATTACCATCCCGATCAATAAAATATTCGTCATTATCATCGGGATCTTTTTCTTCGAGGAACTTCATGAGATAACTGTCGGGATATTTCAATAATGTTGAAGCACAGGTCTCGTACTATTGATTGCAGAATTTACAGAATAATTTTTGATTTTTTGATTTTTGATTTTAATGATGCGATTTTTCGAATAACAGTATTTTTTACCTTCACACCCCCAACATTCAGGCTGATACGAATATCACCGTCATCTTCGTCAGCATAATTTTCGTGATTCATTTTTTATTTGATTTGTTAAAAATGTCCAAGGAAAAAATAGATTTTTAATTTATTCTTGCGACGCTGAGTAATCCGGCTGCTGTGAAACTATAAATGTAGGAATTGTGTATCACCAAAGATCTATATAATTACTGACTGATGTTTTTCTGATTTGATATCGCGAATGCTTCGGATAATAAATCATTCGTCAGTAATTTCGTTGCACAAATGAGTTCATCATGCATATTTTTATGTCTTTCGTCGTACAAATTCATCATCTTGTATATTTCTTTGTACATTTTCTTACAAATAATAAATCTTTGAAAAGGACGTACTGTATATAAAAAGACTTGATATGGAATGCATCATCAACAGAACATAAAAATAGCTTCACGTTAAATCAAAATAAATTTGAATTTCCAAATAATGATATCAAATACTAACGTTAAAAGAGATATCTCTGAATTAATCTTCAGACATAATATTACAAGCCCTATTTTTCCACCAAACATCACAGTTGACGAACTCATGGCAAATTCACTTGCGAAACTTCGAGACAATGGAAAAATCAGTAAGGTTCCCAACGCATTTATGGCTTATAGAATGACATTGCAAAAAGAAATTCCGAGAAATAAATTTTGCCCTACGATGGGTGAACTTTCTTCTATTGCAGGCAGACTTTGGGAGAATGAACCATTTTTTGTAAAAAATTATTATCGTGAATTAGCTCATCAAGCTAAAGAAGGGTTCGAGGCGCATTGGATGACGATTAATTATGTCGATAACGCTAGTAAAATTGTGGTCTCAGATTCTTCGAGTAAAAAACATTTTGAGACAATTAAAAATAATGACAAACAAGAACCTACAAACAATATAAGCCATATTGAATTATATTCTAATGAGATTCCCTATTTTAGTCAATTGAATCATATTAATGATTATAATGGGAAAATAGAAATAAATTTATCGGATCTTGAAAGAATGAATACCACTGAAAATACCTTCCCAATAAATTTTTTGGCTAAAGATAAAGATGAATCAGCAACCTTAACCACAAATTACTTGTCTCTATCTACTTTTTCTAGCTCATCAAATCAAGATATTGAAATGAATATTAACAATCAAAACGAGCATATTGATAATATTTTCGACAATAACAGCGATCCTAGCACTTTAGATACACATTTCTATTCATTATTCTATTCTGACAACAATAATTATGATAGTTATCAACAAGCTCAAGATTTCTCTTTTGAAGATAAAAGAGCCGAAAATCTTGTTTCCTCTCTTACACATGAATCGTCACATGATTTTCGAAACGTTACAGAATAAACCGCACTTTTCTTATCATTAGATAATTACTTTGGAATAATAGGAAAGTATGTCACATTTTTAATGAGTCAACATCTAGACGCAAAATACCAAAACCAAAAATTCCGACATGCCAAGCATCCCGACATACCAAAATTTCCACCCAAAATCTTAACATACCTAAATTCCGACACCCAATATCCTACGTCACGAATTCTGAATTTTATTTTTAATATCAATATCAATTTTCATAATTTATCGGAATATAAGCAACGTCCTTCCCAACTATGTATCGATTGTTAATCTTCAATTTTAAAACTAGGTTTTCGCAAATTTCCACTTTAATAAGTATAACTAATTTTATTATTTTCTTTAATACAAACATCTAATGTTGAACAAGTGATGTAAGACCACCAGGTATAATTAGTTAAATCAATATTATTTTGTTTGTTTATAATTTTCAGATTTTTG